ACGGGCACACATGGGCGCACACACACACACGTGTGTGTTTGTGTGTACACGAGTGCGCAATTGGACATCTATAAAACATTAATTAGCTTGAGTTTTAAATATTTTGGTTGATATTTGGGCTCCCTCAAACTTCCGGACTGACAGTCTCTGGGTTTGTACTCAAGAGATTTTCAGCTGTGATGACAGAGGGGCTCCCTACCCAACCCTGCAGGTCCCTAGGTGTGTGGGAGGATGAACCCGGTCTTCCATTTGCCCCACCAAGCTGCCCCTGCTTTGGCTGCTGGTAGATGTCCTCTGGGAAGGACCCAGGAGAACCCAAAGGGGACACAAGGCATTCCCATTCTTTACCAATATCTCAGCCTCTCCAAATTGGGAAGAATTTGCTTGTGGTTTCTGTGTGTGTCTGCCTGACTGATGGCAATCCAGTGTGGAAGCTGATTCTTCCTGTCAAAGTTCTGGCCTAGTAGGGAAGAAAATTCCAAAGTCATTACCTCTGATGCCTGAAAACGTTGGTAAAAACCAGTCCCCTTTCCTTTCTCCACAGAGTAAACCATGCCTTAGTCCATGTTCAGAGTTGAGAGAGAGACAACTGGTTTATGTTGTTCTACTATCCTATCATAGCTGTATTTGAAAGACAATCAATGGAAAATGTGAACACTACTGCAGATTATGCATACTATAGAGTTTGTATCCATTTGTCATGACTTAGGTGTGAAACTTACACCTAGGAAGATCAGTTGCTCTAATTTCTCTCTCTCTTATTCTCTCTCTCTCTCTCTCTCTCTCTCTCTCTCTCTCTCTCGCTGTGTGTGTGTGTGTGTGTGTGTGTGTGTGTCTATGTATGTCTGAGTTATGGGTAGGGAGCAGGATTTAAATATTGAGAAATAGAACATTTTGGCATCACTTACTGTTGACTTACGAAAAAAAAAAAACACAACCCATTGCTAATCCCTCTCTCTTATTGCATTATTTTGTGTTAGTCCATAAACACATTTCAGGATGGAGGGTGAGGAGGAATAAACTACATAGCAGGGAAAGAAATATGGAGATAAAGTGGGTTAGTGTGGTAAACACAGCACAAGGAAAGAGTATTACCTTTTCCACTAATTTGTGGTGTCAGTCATTGTCTGGCTGCTAACAGACTTCACTCTTATGATTCAGTCCGAAAAGCCATGTCCCCAGGGTACATTGTGAGTGTGACTTTTAAAAAGAATGTCCCCTTTCAGAAAGGACTATATGCTACTCTGAGGTTGTATTACCTTAATAAATACCATTCTTCCCAGCAGTCCACCTCTTTGGTTGTTTTGGTCAAGTTTGAGGTGGAACCCTGGGCTTTGTGCATACTAGATTGGCTCTGTAACAGTGGATTGCCAGCCTTGCACAGAAGTGTTTGCCATCTGGCCGGCAAACTTTATACTTATTGACTCTTGATACTACATAAATGATCTTAGAGCTGGAAGGATGGTTGGGTCAATATTTCCTCCTACCCATTCCCATCTCTGCCATCGTCCACCCTCAACTTCTTTCTCCCTGTTTTTGCCCTTCCTTGTAGGTAGATCTGTCTGACAGGCTTGACTGTCTGACCTCTATTCTATCAATTCATTAACAGCAAATTAGTTATGTCATAATAACTGATATTAATATTTATTGACATGTGACTATGGATCAGCTCTATTATATAATTTTAGTCTCAAAAATCAGATTAAAATGACTTGAGCCTCTGACTAGTTTCTCCAGGTTTTAGGTGTGCAGAAGCTTATGGACAGGAAGTGACTTCCACAGTTGGTTAACAACAGAGTCTGGCTGGGAATAAAGTCTCCAGGCACCTGGTCTAGTAGTATTCTGGTATGCCTAACAAATGGAAGTTCACTGTTATCATTGGATTGGGTTTTCCTTTCCATTACAGACGCTAATTTATGCACATAGATGAGAAATGGTTAAGCTTTTAGGGCTCAAGTGCAAGTATGAAGGGTTGGGATAAGTTCCATCATTATTTTCATCTTATCAAGTTTCTATATCCTGAATTGTTTCTGAACTACAGAAATGTTCATTCCCCTGCGGTCTCATAGTTCAGAAGTTGTCAGCATGAGATGCCTGGAGGATCACTTCACTCTTTTGCCAAAAATACTGCACAGCAACTTTCCCGTGACTGTCTTCTGTAGTCCCTGACTGCTCCCTGAACTCATTTTCAGTCTGAAGGACACCCACTTTTTCCCTTTGGCTCCATCAGATCTGTGTGTTTTAAGGGTGGATGCTTAAAAGTTGAAGTCACCGATGTAAAAATGAGAAAGTCTTTTGGAGAACATTTTGTTCTCGAGACCGTGGTGTAGAACATTCATTGTCAATGTAGGGCAGCCTCTGACTTTCATGCAGTTCTTACCCAGACAGTGCAACAGCAGCGCCGGTCTGACAGAGCACTTGAAAACCCCCAGGAAGCTTTTCAGGATGCTTCTACACAAAGTCCCTTGGGAAATAGGAAGGAATTTTGCTGTTCCTGTTTTTCTTTAAATCTGGAGGTCTGGAAAGAGCAAGGCAACTATGTCCTTACATTCAGAAGGCTTAAAAATGCCAACATGTAGGAAGCCTAAATAAAGTTATACTATGTGGTCTGAAGTGATGTGAGACTAAGATGTAAACTGGGGTGTCTGCTGAGCTGAGGGCACAGTGATCAGAGGAGAAGTAAGCAATGCTTGCATCTGTGATCCCTTGGGGCCCACGTCTCCGGGCCCCTTAGCCACTTTGCTCATGAGGGGACTCGGCTGAGATGCTGCTGATGCTGAAGGGTCCCCTCCTGTGTCTCCACAGATGCAGTGAACCTGCCGCTCGTCCTCACTCGTGGCACACAACCAAATGTGGAGAGAACCAGCCCAGCTCTTTTAGAGGGGCAGTTGGAGAGCTGTAGGCTAGCACAGCACCTCAGCACTTGGCAGTCTTGTTCCTAGTCTTCCTCGGACCTTGGACATCAAGTTCCCCAGAAAACAAGCTCTTTTAGAGGGGCAGTTGGAGAGCTGTAGGCTAGCACAGCATCTCAGCACTTGGCACTCTTGTTCCTAGTCTTCCTCGGACCTTGGACATCAAGTTCCCCAGAAAACAGGCTGCCGTTTCACCCCAGTTACTCAAGATGGCTTGGCTTTTGCAGCTTCATCTACAATTCCTAGATCATCACAAAGTTCCTTTAGCTTTTATATAGATTCCAGGCAGGCAGTTCTACTGTTTGGCCTCTGTTTACCCTTCTGGTTTCAGGCCATAGTCAGTGCCATAGCAACTCCCTGCCTCGCCACTGTGGCCACACTCTGCTTACTTTGACCACAGTCAAACTTTGAGACCAGTCTCTGTAATTACTTTTTAGATTTTTAAAAGATAGTTATTTGTGTGTACACCTGATAGAGGAGGCACATGGCTCAGTCGAAGGTCAGAGGACAACTTTGTGGAGTTGTTTCTCTTTTTCAACCTTCATGTGGGTTCCAGGGATCAAACTCAGATTGCCAGCCTTGCACAGAAGTGTTTGCCATCTGGCCGGCAAACTTTATACTTATTGACTCTTGATACTACATAAATGATCTTAGAGCTGGAAGGATGGTTGGGTCAATATTTCCTCCTACCCATTCCCATCTCTGCCATCGTCCACCCTCAACTTCTTTCTCCCTGTTTTTGCCCTTCCTTGTAGGTAGATCTGTCTGACAGGCTTGACTGTCTGACCTCTATTCTATCAATTCATTAACAGCAAATTAGTTATGTCATAATAACTGATATTAATATTTATTGACATGTGACTATGGATCAGCTCTATTATATAATTTTAGTCTCAAAAATCAGATTAAAATGACTTGAGCCTCTGACTAGTTTCTCCAGGTTTTAGGTGTGCAGAAGCTTATGGACAGGAAGTGACTTCCACAGTTGGTTAACAACAGAGTCTGGCTGGGAATAAAGTCTCCAGGCACCTGGTCTAGTAGTATTCTGGTATGCCTAACAAATAGAAGTTCACTGTTATCATTGGATTGGGTTTTCCTTTCCATTACAGACGCTAATTTATGCACATAGATGAGAAATGGTTAGGCTTTTAGGGCTCAAGTGCAAGTATGAGGGGTTGGGATAAGTTCCATCATTATTTTCATCTTATCAAGTTTCTATATCCTGAATTGTTTCTGAACTACAGAAATGTTCATTCCCCTGCGGTCTCATAGTTCAGAAGTTGTCAGCATGAGATGCCTGGAGGATCACTTCACTCTTTTGCCAAAAATACTGCACAGCAACTTTCCCGTGACTGTCTTCTGTAGTCCCTGACTGCTCCCTGAACTCATTTTCAGTCTGAAGGACACCCATTGCACAGCAACTGTCCCATGACTGTCTTTTGTAGTCCCTGACTGCTCCCTGAACTCATTTTCAGTCTGAAGGACACCCACTTTTTCCCTTTGGCTCCATCAGATCTGTGTGTTTTAAGGGTGGATGCTTAAAAGTTGAAGTCACCGATGTAAAAATGAGAAAGTCTTTTGGAGAACATTTTGTTCTCGAGACCGTGGTGTAGAACATTCATTGTCAATGTAGGGCAGCCTCTGACTTTCATGCAGTTCTTACCCAGACAGTGCAACAGCAGCGCCGTCCACCCAGAGCACTTGAAAACCCCCAGGAAGCTTTTCAGGATGCTTCTACACAAAGTCCCTTGGGAAATAGGAAGGAATTTTGCTGTTCCTGTTTTTCTTTAAATCTGGAGGTCTGGAAAGAGCAAGGCAACTATGTTCTTACATTCAGAAGGCTTAAAAATGCCAACATGTAGGAAGCCTAAATAAAGTTATACTATGTGGTCTGAAGTGATGTGAGACTAAGATGTAAACTGGGGTGTCTGCTGAGCTGAGGGCACAGTGATCAGAGGAGAAGTAAGCAATGCTTGCATCTGTGATCCCTTGGGGCCCACGTCTCCGGGCCCCTTAGCCACTTTGCTCATGAGGGGACTCGGCTGAGATGCTGCTGATGCTGAAGGGTCCCCTCCTGTGTCTCCACAGATGCAGTGAACCTGCCGCTCGTCCTCACTCGTGGCACACAACCAAATGTGGAGAGAACCAGCCTGATGCCAGCATGATGCAGATATCTCAGGGCACGATGGGCCCTCCTTGGCACCAAAGCTACCATTCCAGGTGAGTAGCTACGGCTGGCTACAAGGCTTTCTCTCCTTCAAAGGTCATGTTCTCCCCCCAAATGTCTTTTTTCCTCATCCTCTTAAAATGTTAACCATGTGGGTGACTCATCCTTTATCACTTCCTGAGCTAGACTGTTGAGAGAAGGCTAGAAATAGTTTGATCATGGCTGGTCATTTGAGATATTTATGGAACGAACCATTCCCAGTCAGCTGTTTCCCAATATCTATTATAATCCCATATTTAAAAATTTGACAGATTTCTTTCCTGGGTGCTTCAATATCCTGTCTGCACAATTCAGCTGAATTGAAGATATTGCTTATATTTAAATGGTCTACTTAATTTTTCTCCTCTGTCAAAGCAATTTATCTTGCTTGGCCCTGCAGCAGAAACAACTGAGATGGAGAATTTCTCAGAGATAGGTGATTTCACGAAGTCCCTTCAGTTCCCTCTTCTGCATGCAGTACTATTTTAAAAAATATAGAAGTTGCCGGGCAGTGGTGACACACGTCTTTAATTCCCAGCATCCGGGAGGCAGATGCAGGCCAGTCTCTTGAGTTTGAGGCCAACCTTGTCTACAGAGCTACTTCCAGGACAGCCTGGTCAAGGCTGCACAAAGAAAGTCTGCCTTGAAACAAACCCTCCTCCCCTAAAAAAAGAATACAGAAGTTTACCCTGTTTTGCAGAACAAGAGGCTGAAGTATGCATGAATTAGTCTGTGTATGTGGAGAAGACAGAGCTATATGCAGGTTCTGCATATAGCTGCTAGGTTACACTTGTGCTCTAGTGACTCTGCTGCTGTTCAGGTTGTTCAAGAATGAACAGAGCCGCCTGGCGGTGGTGACTCACACCTTTAGTTCCAGCACTCGGGAGGCAGAGGCAGGCAGATCTCTGTGAGTTCAAGACCAGCCTGGTCTACAAGAGCTAGTTTCAGGACAGCCTCCAGAGCCACAGAGAAACCCTGTCTCAAAAAACAGCAACAACAAAGATTGAACAGAACCTCCACGAGTGCCAAATCCGAAGGGGTTTATTCCAGAAATTGGGCCTTACACATCTGAGAAGAGCTGGGAAAAGGGGATCCAAACCCAGACCCTCAGGCATCCTGAAGAAAAGACTTAAGTCAGGATTACCCACCCCAACTGCATGCACAAGCTAGATCCTGAGGAGTCAGGCTCTACATAGTATTGTCATAACTTGAGTCGTGCAGAGATGGGGCATTTCAAACCTACATAAAAATGAGATGCAGGCAGTGTGTTAAGGAGAGCCACTAGGAGGCTTCTGGAAGGATTATTTAACAGATGGTGGCTGCACTTTGGGGGGAGGGTAGGACTCATTTAGAGCCCTTACAGATCCAGATTTGCTCAAAGGCAAATGGTAGAGTAAGCATCAGGCCACAGGAAGAAGTGATTCCTAGTTACTTCCTATAGGCCCTCCTTCCCCTTTTTGTAGGTTTCCCAGTCTCTCTCTCTTGTGGGGGGAACGGGGGTGGGGTTGTTCTGAGACAGGGTTTCTCTGTATAACAGTCCTAGCCTGGAACTCACAGAGATCCACCTGCTTCTGCCTGCCAAGTGCTAGAATTCAAGACATGCACCACCACACCTGATGTCCTTCTAGTCTCTTAAAGTTCATACCATCTGAGCTGTATGTTTCGGAGAGTGGGTTTCCTCACAACACACCCTCTCCACAAAGGACACTTGATTTACAGAACTGTCATGTGTCAGGGCTTTGTAGTGTGAGCACCTGATGGCTTGAGGTTTTGGGTGTGACCTTGGTGTCACTCTCACTCCTCACCTGCTCATGAGCAGGCACACACTTTGTTTCTGGCTTCCCTTTCTCTGACATGAAACTAATGACACCTATGTCACTGGGTCATTGTGAGCATTAACTAAAGGAATGCATGCAACTCCTAGTGCACAGGAAACATTCCATACGTGACGACTATAATAAGAGGCTGAAGACACAGTGGTCTGTGAGACCTGCTAAATTTAGCATAAAGCAGAACACATGAATGCCACTGAGTGGCAGAATCCTTTATAACCTCCCAGCACCCCACCTCCATCTTAGCTTTCTTAGGAAGCCCCAAATCTGAGGTCATACTGTGACCTAAGGAATATATTGACCCTATAGCAGAAATCAGACCCTTGTAGTCAGTGTGTGGGACACCCTGCTTACAGGGACTGTGGTGGGCTCCACAGGCCTCAGGAGTGGTGGCATCAAAATTCAGTAGTGTTCCGAAGGCCACACTGCCTCTCTCCCCTTGTCCTAGCTCCAGTAGGGGGTTAGAGAGGTTGAACTGTGCTTGTACTGTGTCTGCCTCCTGGTCCTTAGATGCTGACATAGCTATTGAGCCAAAAGCACTGTGGCAATAGGAGAAAAACAAGTACAGATTACCCGGAATGCTGCAAGTCCATGTGCCCTCTCCCACCTTGGTCCAGGCACACCTCTGCAACTCTGTCACAGGACATTCCCTCCCTCTCAGTCTACTCAGTCTCATAATGGCAGCTGCAGCTGAGAAAGAACTGCTGGTGGGTCCCTAGGTTCACAGTGGCATCTGATGATCTAGGGTGCCAGGTTGGTTGGCTGGCTTCCCTCTGATGGCTTGAATTTAGTTTTCCAATCCCAATTTTATGTCTGTGTTCAAGGATCTTTTTCTCTTGAAAGCAGGAGAGTGAGGAGAGGGGAGGAGCAGGAGGGACAGAGGCAGTGAGGGCAGTCAGTTTTAACTGTTTTGTGAGTACGGCTGGATTTGGAATTGCCCTGAAACTTGATGTTGGCTGCTTTCTGCCAGGCCCGTGCCACTTTCTCTCTGCTGTCTTATGAAAGTGCCACCGAGTGGTTCTAAAGTATTAGAAGAGACTGTGAGGACACGGGGTCTCTCTGAAAAGAGGCTGAAGGAGCACTATCAAAACACTAACATACAGGACTCACTGAGAGACCGGTTCACCTGGCAAATGCGAGCACCCCCATGCCTCAGGTGGTCTTAGTGCTGGGCATGCTTTCTGAGGAAGATAATGAAATGCTTCACCTTATAATACTGTTTTCCAAAGAGTCTTCCATGAAATGAAAGTTCCTTATGTATTCCTTGGCTGAAAGTTTCTGGAGTCAAATAGGTTTAGAAAACTTTGCTTCGTGTCTTTCCCCTTTGGAACAACAGATGAACAATAGTTTATGGAGGACTCAGAAGTCTAGCCGTAAACAAACTTGTTTAACTTTAGCCCAGTGTTTTACAAACAGATTTGATTGTTTTAGGAATTAAGGCTCTGTGATTACACATCAGGAAAATTTTCATGTACTTGTCTTGTGCTTTTCACAATGTATGTTTTGAGCATTTAAAAATTATTATTATTTTTTTGGCTGGGTGGTGGTGGCATAAGCCTTTAATCCCAGCACTTGGGAGGAAGGTAAATCAGTTCTTACTTAGGCATTTCATTTTTAGATGAGTAGAGACTGGAGCATTTATAATAGTGAATCACACTGTTTACCATAAGGAGATTGCTGATTGATTCTTGTTTATTTAATATGGCTTCTCCATAGGTATATAGTTTTCTTTTCTTTTCTTTTTGGTTCCTCACATATGCTAGGCAAGACTCTACCACCAATCTATACATCGTGTGTGTGTGTGTGTGTGTTTGGCTTTTTGAAACAGGGTTTCTCTGTGTGGCAGTCCTGGAACTTGATTTGTAGACCAAGCTGGCCTTGAACTCACAGAAATCTACCTGCCTTTGCCTCTCAAGTGCTGGGATTAAAGGCATGCTCCACCACCGCCCAGTTCCCCAAATATATTTCATAGCAAATTTTTATTTGATGTATGTAGGTATTTTGTCTGCATGTACATCTGTGTACCTCATACATGTATAATGTATGGCTGCCAAGGCTGCCATGGCCAAAAGACGGAATCAGATCTCTTGGGATTGGAGACCGTTGTGAGCTGTCATGTGTGTGCTAAGAATCAAACCCAGCTGGTGCTGTTAACTACTGAGCCATCTCTCCAGCTCTTTATAGTCAATTATTAGAACAGTTTTAAGACCATAGCAAAATTGAATGGAAACTATAACGATTTACTCCCTGGTCCCCACACGTGCATGTTAGACTCTCTGATTATCTAACAAAAACACTTTTTTTTTTTTTTTTGAGGCAGCTCTCTGGGGTACAAAGGGCCAATATTGAGACTCTTTCCTCCCCAACCCAGAGGAGCTTAGTAATACAAAGGTCTTGCTCTTCTGAATGCACACTGAGGATGGCTTTGGTGTTGGAATCCCAGCCTAAAGGACCTCCTGTGGCTAAGACTTCCTTCCCAGCTTCACTTTCTCTCCCTTTCCTTCTCTTCTCATTGGCCTTTTCTGGCTCTAATGTCTCCTCCTGTATTTCTCCTTTCAGCTTTGTGTTTAGCTTCTCCCCACAAACAAATTGTCCCTCCCAGTGTTGAGATTCAGGAAGGTTGCCAACGCCTAGCTTTTGACTCCTTAAAAAGGAAAGATATTAACTAAAATCATACGCATGTGTTCCCCAAGTCCCCCAGCCCTTCACATGCCTGTTTGCTTACTAAGCTTTTCTCGATCTCCTGCACAAGGATCTATAATAGACAGAAAATGTTCTCCTCTGCCATTCTTCCTTCTCTTCAGTTTTCCCCCACTCACCACCTTCATTTCTGGGCATGTGCAAAATGTCACTTACAATGCAGCAAGTCACGGCAGTGTGCTGCCTGTGCCTAAGGCCACCCCTTTCTTCTAGTAAGCCTGAGTGATTAATTAGAGGCTCATAAGGCTACATACAGCATTGGGCAGTTGATCCTAGTGACGACACAGGGATCACAACAAGCCCCAAATAAGGCCCTTTTGACCCACCCTTCCGAAAATGGAACATCTTGCATAAGAGCGAATTTATAAGCTGAGCCCTGTGTCTGTGAGCCCACTAACCTCCTCAGCCGACTGACTGCTCTGTCTCTTGTTCTCCCAGCTCTTCTACAAGTGACCTCTCCAACTATGACCATGCTTATCTGAGGCAGAGCCCTGACCAGTGCAGCTCCCAGGGGAGCATGGAAAGCCTGGAGCCTAGCGGTGGATACCCAGCCTGCCATCTCCTTTCTCCTGCTAAGTCCATGAGCAGCCTCGACCAGCTTGGCCACCTCCATAATAAAAGAGACTCAGCGTATAGCTCCTTCTCTACAAGCTCTAGCATTCTAGAGTACCCACCCCCTGGTGGCTCTGGCCAAGAACGTTCAGGTTCCACAGACATGATTTCTGCTCGAGGTGGCCTCCTAGAAGGGATGAGACAAGCAGACATTCGCTATGTCAAGACAGTCTATGATACCCGGAGGGGAGTATCGTCAGAGTATGAGGTGAACCCTTCAGCCTTGCTTCTTCAAGGTAGGGATGCCCACGTGTCAGCAGGTATTCAGGGCTGTGCTAAATGGCACAGCGTTCCTCGGGGCAAGGGAGCACCCTCCCCACCTTGGAGCCAGCAGTGCCCCAGCTCTTCAGATACTGCCACTGACAACCTGCCTCATAAAGTGGGTGCACCCATGCCCCCCACTCGGAGTGACAGTTATGCAGCCTTCCGGCATCGCGAGCGTCCCAGCTCCTGGTCCAGCCTTGATCAGAAGAGGTTCTGCCGACCTCCGACAAACTCCTCAGGCTCCTTGAAAACCCCGCTCATTGAGGAACAGCTGCATACAGTCCCAGAGAGGAGTCCAGAGAACAGCCCCCCAGTGAAACCTAAGCACAGTTATACCCAGAAGATGCAGCCTGGCCAACCCCTACTGCCCACTGGCATCTATCCGGTACCCTCTCCAGAGCCACACTTTGCCCAGGTGCCTCAGCCTTCTGTGAGTAGTAATGGTACAGTCTACCCTGCACTGGTCAAAGAGAGTGGATATGCAGCTGCTCAGGGAGCTTGTAACAAGATGGCTACCTTAGATGAGAATGGGAACCAAAACGAAGCTAACAGGCCTGGGTTTGCCATCTGTCAGCCCCAAGAGCATGAATTGGTGACCCCAGGGGAGAGAAATCCAGAACCCACCGCCAAATATGTCCCCTACAAAGTCCACTTTTCTTCAGTGCCTGAAGATGAAGATTCCTCCCTGAAGAGACACGTCACACCTCTCCAAGGCAACAGCCCATATCCCAGTGAGAGAAAGAACACCCATGGCAGCAGACCTTGCTCGAATCACCACAGCCTCTCATCTCCTCAGGCCCAGGTCTTGCACGCGGGAGATGACAGGAGGCCTTCCAGGCTCCTTCAGCCCTTTGACGTTCAGGAAGATCACAACGCCAACCCCAGGCAGAAACTGGAGAGGGAAGGTCTAGGCCAGAGCCAGTCAGGCAACTTTGGCAGGACCAAGTCGGCCTTCTCCTCTCTCCAGAACATTCCAGAGAGTCTAAGAAGACAAAGCAGCCTCGAGCTCGGAGGAGATGCCCAGGAGGGTTACCCAGGTGGCAGGCCCGCCTGTGCCCTCAACGCCAACGTGGAAGAGCCTGGCGGGAAAGCCGGGCCCGACCACAGGAGCTACCAGGACAGGCCCAGTTCCCATCCAAGGCCGGAGGGGAAAATGAATACAGTCGCAGACTCTTTGCAGGGGGCAGACTCAAGGTCTGAAGAGCCCCCGGGCCCACCACTCCTGCAGACATCGGGTCTGAACCAGAGGAGGCTCAGCTCCAGCAGCAGCACCTCTGCCCCACAGTACCGGAAGCCCCACTGCTCGGTGCTGGAGAAGGTCTCCAAGATCGAAGAGCGAGAGCAAGGGCGTCACAGGCTCCCGAGCGTGGGCAGCTGCTCCACGTACGGCCTCAACTATAGGCCCCACAGGACCGGCCCGACCTCCAGCCCTAACGGCGGCGGCGACTTTGAGGATCCAAAAGTCAGCACCCAC